CCAATAAAAATAAATAACTCTTTAAACAAAGATTACATTTAGGGTGTGAGAAAAAATGTGCTATCAAAATTGCAGACCTAAATGAACAGGAAATATTGCAATTGCCATGATCTGAAGGAAGATTGAGAGAGGAGCAAATTCAGGGGGTTGGAAGTTTAGACACTGACCCAACAGGCCTGAGATGCCTCTCAGACATTTAAAGGGAGATGTTGAATATGTAGGTTTGGTTTGCAAGAAGTGTGGACTAGAGATACCCATTGGCATCATAAAGGTTAGAGAGGGTATTTTAAAGCCAGTGGGTGAAGCCACAGCGGGGGGTGGCAGTGTGAGGATGAATAAAGAACCTGGAGAGTGAGACTTGAGCTACACACTGAGGCCCTAACAAAGGCACCAGGAAAGGAGGAAATGCTAAGGCAGGCAACAGAAATCAACATTTGGGAAAAGGTCTCCAACATGAGGAAGTGCCCTGCTGTTGGAAATGCTGTGCGGAGACCAAGTAAGGGAACATGCTGTTCTGTGTGGTCACGTGCAAGTCTCTGCTGACCTGGAGCCGAGGAATTTTGGAGGAGCAGTGGCACCAAGTACCAACATGGGGAGTGGAAGTGGAGTGAGCATGGAAAACAAAACTAAGAAATTTGATATAAAGAGGAAGAGAGAAACATAAGCAGCTAGAGTCGGAAATAGGATTAAGAGATTATCTTTTTGAACACTGACAGAAATTACAGCATGTCTGCATGCTGATCAAAGCGGTCGGAGAGAAGAGGGCAGAGAAGAAACAGGGGCAGGTGTTGGGAGTGAGTTCCTGGAGTAGGCAAAGCAAGAGGGATGCAACACCCCCAGCTGGGGCAGGGTCTGCCTTTGGACAGGAAAGCAGACAATTCAGCTAGCAGGGCATCCTAACTGCAGGACTGTGCACATCTGGGTGATCCCCATGGTGGGGCGGCTTGGACCTGGTAGATTTAGCGGCACCTTTGGCCTTGACCCACGAGATGCCAGTAGCACTCCCTCTCCATCCCACCACCCCATTCATAACAAAAGGGTGTTTAGATTTGGCCAAATAGCCCTAAGATTTTGCCCCTTCCCCCAGGAGACATTTTGTAGTCTCCTACCTGGGGTGGTGATTGGTGGGGCTGCTGCAGTGGTCTAGTGAGAAGGGGCCAAGGACATCCTACAACACACAGGACTTCCTCCATGACAGTCACCTGCTCCCAACCCACTGGGGTGCAGTGAGAAAGCCCTAAGATGAAGGAGGGAGAATTTGAGGGTACAGCCACCAGCGGCAGGTCGGCACACATGATGGAGACATGTGGGTGTTCTCCGCTCACTTTCTCACTGAGCTAGGCAGCAAGGTCACCGAGAGAGCAGTCCCAGGGCAGTTAAGGAGACAAGACATGAAGCTGTCCTCCAGGAGGGGCGGACTCCAAGGGGTTGGGAACAAGTGGACTGGCTTCTGTGCTGCCTTGAGGGCTTACCTGAGTCAGGAGTTGAATGTGAAACCAGTCGGCCCAGATTTGCACTTCTCTGGGCTGCATTCAGAGCCGGAGCAGCAGAGAATCGGATCTAATTGGCTGTGGCTTTGCCAAGTACAAGGGTCCTTCAGAAAGGCTGTTGGGGGGGAATGCAATTAAATAAGTATATTTGGGTACAAGACATTTTGGGAATCACTGCATCATTTACTCACAGTATATATTACAGTTTTGAGAACAGTTGCTGTCCCTTTAAAGCCCCATGTATTGGTCTTTTACTAATGGTCAATGAATTCGTGCTAACATTTAATTCATTCAGGACGGGGACTTGCTCTCACTGTGTATTTAGGATATGTGCCCACAGTGGCAGGTCTTTTACATCAATGGAGGATGCCCTCAGACTGTGCACTTACAAAACCGTGAGAAAGGATGGCTTTTCCCTTGTTAGTTTGCTCCCACTAGGTTATTTTAGTTGTAATGATGGAAAGCTAACTAATGCATTTTCCACAAACTTTCTGAAGACCCCTCATCAAAGGAGACAATGAAGGGACAAATGCCTACTGAAGGCCAGCTGCTCAGTTGGGGGGAAAGACACTTGCACCCCTGTTGGAGTAGATGGCTCCTGACTCCAGCTTCCTGTTTCTGCAGGCCCTGGAAGACAGTCGTGATGGCTCAAATCATTGGGTTTCCGGCACTCACACAGGAGACCTGCGTTGAGTGCCTGCTGCCAGCTGCAGCCTGGCCCAGATACTACTATGGTAGTATCTGGGGAGTGAACCAGTGGATGGACCTGCTGATTCACTTTCTTTTTTTATTTTTAATGACCACAGAATTTGAGCTGGGTAAAAGCGAATAACAAGGGACCATAAAAACGCAGGTGGCCCAAAACAGTCCATGTTCATTGCGATGCATTGCTGTTTCAACATAAACATGGTGAGTTCTGCCATAATGGGGTCATGACTCACTTTCTTTAGCAAATACTTCGTAACCTCGGAAGGGCAAACGCCAATCCTTTCTAAGTGAAATCAGCTAAACTAAGATCTGAAGCTCTGGGGCTGTCGTTTCTTTGATCAACTTACCCTTTTGTTAATGAAACCCAACACTGAACAAGCAATGGTAACCACCCAGGAAATCAGGAATCTCCAGAAGTTTCCAGCGAGTTCTAATGTGTATTAGTTCATGTATTTGGTCTAAAGTTGTTCAGATGCCTGTGGTGATAGGCCTCCCATAGCGGGCTGAGCAGCTTGAAGTGGTGGGCACAGTCACGGCCACCTGAGGCAGCCCTGACTCAGATGCTTTCAAAGTGAAAGTCAAACTGCTTGTTTCCAGCAGGCCCTTGGCTCCTCCTTTTGAAGATTTCACTTAAAAATATTAAAAGGTGTCTTCCCTGGCATGCCTACAAAATATGACAAGAGTCCAGTGCCATCCTTCTAGGAATCTCACATAGCCTTGAGGACTCGAGCCTCCTCTTAACCACTCTGCTCTCTGAAGGCTGAGTGTAAGCCCAGCCCTGCCCCTTGCCACCTGCCGATGCCAAGCACGTCCTGCTCACATCTGTGGCTGAAAAGCAGTCAGCCTGCCTCACCACGGCCTCCTCCCAGGGCCTCTGCCCGGGCAGGCATGCCATACAAACCACACCGGCCTTCCCTGGCAAGGCGCTCTATACCTCCAGAGGGGCGAGGAGAATGGAACCCAGGTTTGCCTCCAGGTCAGAATGGAAAGAGGGTGAAGGGGACAAGAACTTGTCTAAAGGCAGAACTGTGGGTTGCAGGCATCTGAGTGGCACCAGCTTGCTTTCTCCTTGGACTGTCAAAGTGGGAATCTGGCTACAGCCTGCAGTTGCCAAACCTACCTGCCCAGCCAAGGGCAGACAGAAAGCTGGAGGGACAGCAAAACATTCCCTAAAGACACAACCCGCCTCCAGTGGTGCGTGTCATTTTAGGGCCAATCTTGGCAACCTTATATTGGATTGATGGGAGTTAGGAATCGGGCAGGGTACACTCTTCATTGGTCCTCCAGGAGTCACGTCAGCTCACTGACCAGCAGCAAACATGGAACATGTATGAATGTCTCCTATGATGGCTGCTCACTCATGGTTCACAAGCAAGGGCAGCAAGCGCTCAGGATGCCTTTCTAACTGTACCAGCCCCAGGGGATCAGTACAGGGCAGTGAGCACAAAGGAAGCTGAGTACCAGAAGGCCCATCACTAGCGCAGGCCTGTCTATTTCTGTGGGGTGGGGAAGAAAAACACATGGCAGATATGTGCCTCTGCTTTCCGGTATCTGCCTCTTTTCCTACCTGGAAAATGGGGTTGTCATTTAGAACCCGAGGTGGAAGCAGGCGTGCCTGGTGTAGTGCTTGCACCTGCCAAAGGGAGCGTGAGAGCTGGGAGGTAAGGCAAGGAACTGCAGCCCACACAGCTCAAGACCCCAGCGCTCCTGACACCCACCTGCTCCCTCCGGGCCTTCCCAGAGCCGGCTGAGGGGCAGTGCTCGCGAACGGCGCACCTCTCCCTCACCCTGCAGGTCCACGCGGGCCCTTGGAAGAGTCCCCGCAGGCTGCTCGGAAGCGCCTTACCCAGCTTGAGGACAGTGAGCAAGTCCTGGGATGGCGAGGCGGCTGCAGCCACAAGCCCTGGAGCAGACAAGAGGCTGACAACGAGAAGCAAAAAGCCAGTCGGAGGGGCTTCCCCAGACCGCAGGGCAGGAAGCGGGCAGCAGGGGCAGCAGCAGGGCTGCGTTTACAGGCCCTGCGAGCTGCTCTTGAAGTTCCTGGCACCTCAGGAGCAAGAGCCCGGGCTCGGCCGCGCTGGGCACCGGCCCCTCAAGCTGTGTGCCCTCGCAGCGCCCCCGGGCGGCCTGGGCCTTACCCCTGACCCCGGGCCTAGACAGATGGCATTCACCCCAAGCCCTGTGACCTTGAGCCCCACGGTGGCCTCAGGAGGGGAAGAACGTGGGGCCAGCAGCCGGACTTTTCCAGCCTGGGCAAAGCAGACGCCCAGGTAACAAATGTCCTTCGGGCCACCCGACGGCTCCGCGCTGCCTCCATCTTTGCTTCCGAAGGGCATGCCTGTACTCCCTGTTCCCCCCTCAAGACCTCCATCGACCTCCATCGAGGCCAGCAGGACAGTCTGTCTTCGGAAGGAGCAAGTCAGCTCGCTTAGGCTCAGTTTTCTGGAAAATGGAAAAGGCGCGTCCTTCACGAGCTGAGGGAAGCACCGGCGCCCAAGCCCCGGCTGAGGAACAGTTTACGGATGAGGTAATTAGGAGGGCGGCGCTCTCGACCGGGAAGACGACCCCGTCCCCGGCCTCACTGAAGCTCGCAGAAGAGACGACTCCCGGAGGCCTGGAGGGCCAAGGCCCCAAAACGCCCGGGCCCGAGACAGAATTTGGCCGCGTCGGCCGCGCGCCCTACGGGAGGCGGGGCCAGGCTGGGGCGGGGCCTGAGCGGCGGCAGAGGGGCGGAACCTGACCTAAGCGGTGAGGAGGCAGTGAGACTATGAATACGTTAAAAACGCTGCCACCCTTCGCCGAGGTTCCGTAGTGTAGTGGTTATCACGTCTGCTTTACACGCAGAAGGTCCTGGGTTCGAGCCCCAGTGGAACCAAATTAAGGGGGAGCTCATATTTTCATCTTTTTTTCTTCCTATGACAATCCCTGAATAAGTAACAGGAATGGAAACAAGACAAAACTACTGATCTTTTTACATCACAAAGGTGAAGAAGTAACAGCCCATTGTCTAACCTGAGAAATAGGTCAAAGTGTGCGTAGGGCTAAGTCGCAGTCCTCAGGGCAACCCCGCCCGGTCGGCCACACCCCTCCCTCTCCTTCAGGTGCTCTGTGCAAACCTTGGAAAATTGGGCGCTCTTGCAGGTTTTCTAATGCCTCCAACCCAAACGTGGCAACACTTATTATGATCACGATATAAAGTTTCACTTGGGATTAAGCTCTAAAATACAGCGTAGGGAAAACAAACAAACAAACCGTATTCCATCTCATTACCATACGTATTCATTCAGGAAAATACTGAATTGGGTGGTGGGTGGGACAGTTAAAGCACAAAGATGGGCATTTCTGCGTCACTTGTAATAAGGAAACGTGGAGATAATTTAAACGGCCAAGGTTAGGAGGCTGGCTTTTCTTTTTTAATACAGCAGTGCGGTTAGTGGAATAGAAATTCCTAAATACCAAAACCACTCTTTCCTTTTGCTTCTCTTAGCTCGTTCCTTGTAGTTTCACTGGGAGCGGGGGAGGCGGTGTAGGCGTTATTACACTTTTTAAAACACTGGCCCTTTTCAGCTTTGAGAGCAGGAACAAAGGAAAGATGTCTGGGGCCCCACGGTTGTCTGCCAAAAGTGGCAACGAAAAGAGGAAGGAGGCGCTCAAGTTTTTTTCCTTTGCCTTTCGCCTTGCTCTTCGGCTAATATAGTGTGTAAACTTGCATCTTGTGCTAACCTGGTAGAACACGTGCTTTTCCCTGTCGGCCACGATCACTCCACTGACTGGTTTTTCTCTTGGCTCCGCAGGGTTCCAGCAATTTGCATCGTTGTGCAACAGAGCTCCACATCAGCCACCTTGCCAAACTGAACCCAATATTCATTAACTCTGTCTTTTCTCTTGTCAGTTTCCCCCTCGGATAGCTGTATGATAATCATAAATATTGTCAAGCATGCCAGGAGTGCTTCACATATGTAATTCCACTTAAGCCTCAAAACAACTCTGTGAAGTTGGCATTCTTACCATGATCGCACAAAAGAAAAACTGAGGTGCATTCAGTTACCTAACTTGGCTGAAGGTCACAAGTGGCGAGGTTGAGATTTGTTTGATGATCTGTGCCTAACCCTACCAGGCTATACCATCTCTCCTTATTTATTCGTGTTCTTATTTACTTATTTGAAGGACAGAGTCATACAGAGAAGGAGAGACAAAGAGAGAGAGACCTTCCATCCTGTTTTTCACAGCCAGGGCCGGGCCAGACCAAAGCCCAGAGCTTCATGTGAGCCTCCCAGGAGGCTGCAGAAACTCATGAACCTGGACCATCTGCCACTACTTTCCCAGGCATATTAGCAAGGAAGTGGATCCAAAGTGGAGCATCTGGAACTCGAACCATCACCCATATGGGACACCTGAAATGCCATAGTGCTGGCCTTTCCTTTTGGATTTAACCAGCCCTCCTACATGGCCTTTAAACTGTTCCCAGTGCTTTGCTATTACAAGTAACACAGCAATGCACATCGACACACTCCCTCCCTCTGCCCCGGCCACCAAATTTAGTATTATCTTGAGAGAACAGTTCCAGGCATGCTGCCAAGTTGCTTATGAAAAGGGGAATCTGACATCTTCATACGGCTCAAGAATGTTAGTGCTTATTTGGCTGGAAATTGATATCCAGGTCATTGCTGGAAGGTGATGGAAGAGATCAAGACCTGGGCCTTCTCATCATTCCCCTGCATCGCTTCCTTCACAGTAGCATCAACTACAGCGACTACAACGTCGCTATCTTCTTGGAGACTCCTTTGTTGAGCCAGGTAACTGTGTGGGTTAACTTGGAGGGCTCAGCGGGAAGATCTAAGATCCAAATGCAGTAAGATGCTTAGTGAGGCTACTGCTCAAGCTAATCCCCTGCTCCTGGGCCAGCATCCACTTCGGTGAGGTAGAGCCTCGGCCAAGGACGAGCAGAAAATGCTACACAAGATGGAAGGTTTCTTGGTCTTACTTCTCTTTGGTTATGAAGGTATGTGCTCTCCAGCCACTGGCATTTATTACACTCTTATTCATAGAATTTAATGATGGCTCTATTAATGTTAACAACTGATATCATTAACAATTAATATTCTTAAATATCATTGATAAATAAATACAAGCTAAAGAAAATGTTAATTAGCAGTGCATGCCCATCACCATGTGTCCATTAAGGAACAGCAGTTGCGTGTCTGCAGATGTGGTCTCCTTTGTCTTGCCCCTGGCTTTCCGATTCCGATGATGCCAAGAAGTAGGAGGAAGGATCTCAGAAATCACCCAAAAGAGCTGCACATTGCAACAATTATTGAGTGATGCAATGTATTCTTGAAAACTTTCAGGAATTAAACTTAGAATGACTGGCAGAATTTAATCTTCAAGTCCAGGGCACTATGGAAGGCAGAGGGTGCTATTTATAACCCTTACTGGACAACAGGTGCCAACCGGGACTGCCCCAGATACAGCAGGACATAAGGTCATCGGAATTTATTTAAGGTCATACGGATTAACGGACTATGCTGAGAATTGTCCCAGAGTTGGAAAGTTCCAAATACTCTATACACTCAATCAAATTTCTAAATATGGCCCTGGCAGGAATGGTCATGCTTCACTAAAGGAAAATTCAAGGCAAATTTCTAAACTGTGATCTAATTCAACTTTTGAAGTTCTCGCTCCATCTTTGTAATACTCTTCCAGACATCTCTCAATTCTTAAGTACCCAGCAACTCAGGATTTCTTCCCAGGTTCACTGGGGCTTTGGAGAATCGGCTGAAGCTCATGGAGGACATTGTGGATGTGTGGTGTGACAGCAAATAAAGGAAGGCTGGGAGGAGGAAGCCTCTCCCCCTGCAGACGACATGGCAGCCGGGTGCAAGGGAATGTACACAGATCACAACTCCTGCTTTCCCCATCACTGACCCTCTCACGGTTACTAGTGCAGTGATTATTTTCTTCTCGCTTGCATTTATTTTATTTATTTGAAAGGCAAAATTAGAGAGGAAAAGAGCTCTTCCCTCCACTGGTTCAGTCCTCAGATGGCAACAACAGCCAGGGCTGGGCCAGGCTGAAGCCAGGAGCTTCATCAGGGTCTCCCATGTGGGTACAGGATCCCAAGCACCTGGGCCAGCTTCTGCTGCTTTCCCAGACATCTGGATTGGAAGGGAAGCATCCAGGAATCAATCAGGCACCCATATGGGATGCTGGAATTACAGGCAGAGGATTAGCCTGTTATATCACAATGTGGATCCCAAATACTCATTTTGCAGCCATGTCAGATCTTGATTTTTGCTATTTAAACACATTTCTTAGTATCTGGAAACATTTGTGTAAATGTAATTCCAAGGTCATTTTGTAAATCCCCAAATATTTCTCTAAGTACACCAACTATCGGGGTTCCCCCCCCCGTTATTAAGAGTCAGAATCCCAGGAGCTCTCCAATGCCCTAAGATACTTTGAGGGGATATTGTTGTGGTTTTTTCTTCACTTCTTGTATTTTCTTCAGCAAGAATATCTCAGCAGAGCCTTTCAAGACTCAGATCCAAAGTCCTGGGTTCTCAGACATCCATAGATTCATGGGTTCATGCCATTTGTTCCAGAGCTACTTTCTGAGTATTTGCTATGGGGGGCACACTGTGTAAGAATTGATGGGCACTCCATCAATTCTTCTGACTTCTCACTCCAGAACCTTACAACCCTGCTCCATGGCAGCTAGCTGGAAAGAGGCCCTGTCAAAGGTGACTAACAGTGCATTTTGTTTTTTTAAGACTTATTGATTTACTTGAAAGGTAGAGTTACACACACACACACACACACACACACACACAGCAAGTGAGCTAGCTTCCACTGTCCACTCCACAAAAGGCCACAACAGCAGGAGCTAGGCTGGTCTGAAACCAACTTGTCTGGGTATCCCAAGTGGGTACAAGGGCCCAAGGACTTGAGCCATCCCCTGCTGCCTTCCCAGGCCACATGCAGGGAGCTGCATGGGAAATGGAACAGCCAGACCTCGAACTGGTGCCCATATAGGATAGTGATGCTTAAGGCAGTACTGGCCCCAGGAATGCATTTTTAAATCTGGCTTATCCATTCTGTGGATATCAGTAATAAAAAAAAAATCAAGCCGTTGAGCAGAATGAAAGGAGAACTTTCTTTTTCTGTAGCTTTATCAATCTGTGCACAACTGGGGAGTTCTGGAAATGTCCAGAAGAGCTGAGGACTCCCTCCGTCCCGCTGGCATGGACAGCGGCTTGAAGCAAGGTTTAGGTTTCCCTACCCACTACTCAAGGCCCTCCACTCTTACACCGTTTGGAAGGAAAACAGCTGGCCAAAAATGCCATAGTGGCTTGAACAGAGGAATGCTCCGGGGTGAGACAAAATCCAGGACACAGTGTGCTTAGCTCAGAGGCCACATGGAAACAGAAGGTCCTCTCACACTATATGAAAACATATTCAGTTGTACACGTGGGAACCTGAAAATGAGGATTTTTTAAAAATATGTATTTATTTATTTTTGGGTCACAACACAATGGCTCAACAGGCTAATCCTCACTCTTCAAGCGCTAGGATCTCATATGGGCACCAGTTCTTGTCCTGATCGCTCCAATTCCCATCCAGCTTCTTGCTGGTGGCCTGGGAAAGCAGTGGACTGGAGGATGGTCCAAAGCCTTGGGGTGCTGCACCCACGTAGGAGACCTGAGAAGGCTCCTGGCTCCTGGCTTTGGATTGGCTCAGCGCTTGTCATTTGGAGAGTGAACCAGTAGATGGAAGATCTTTCTCTCTGCTCGCTGTGCTTTCCCCACAGAAGTGGAGCAGCTGGGACACGAAGAAGCACCCATGGGGGATCCCAGGCTTGTAGGTAGAAGATTAGCCAGTTGAGGGTTCTGTCTTGACGCTGGCTGTTTCTGTTCTTCAGGATCAGTGGCTTCTCATTGCCGTTCAATAAGGTAAATGGACTGACCTAGTCGGGTCAGCATCATAGCAAAGCCTACCTGTATCTCACAGCTGAGTCAGGCTTCTCTCTGCGTGACATTTTCAACTCTATGCTAATGATGACTTTTAAAAAACGTCCATCTCAAGAAAGTATGAGAGTCTATTATGTGGTTATATTTGTGATATGAAAGCAAAGACCGGCAACACAGCCTCACTTTACAGTTGGAGGTGCCTCCTTGGCAGGTGTGCCAAGCATCAGGGATGGCTGTTTTAGTACAAAGCAGTTTTCTTGAAATATAATTTACATGTTACTAAATTCAGCCATTTAAGGTGCACACATGAATAGTGTTCTAAGGTATTTGTAAATCTGGGGAGTACACAATTTAATTTTAGAATATTTTTTATCTCCCCAAACATTAAGTTTTCTCATGTCCCTTCTCCCCATCTGTATCCAGCCCCTGGCAAAGCAGAAATCCACGTTCTGTCTCAACAGATTCGTCATTTCTGGACTTTTCATTGAAGAAGACTCACACAGCACTTAGTCTTTTGTCTTTTATTTGCATATGTCTTTGAGGCTCATCTGTGTGGAAGTATGTACAGATAACAGATTTACCCATGAATACACCTGTCACCTAAAATAATAATGCTTTCATACCAGAAGTAATTTCCTTCTTTGTTCTGCACAAAGAGGGCTGGTAGTGCAACCTGCTGTGTCTCTCTTGTGTCTTTATTGTGTTTCTCAAGAAGCTTTGGAGCTGGTTCCAGATGCTTTTGATCATTCATCCTCTGACGCTTCTCTCCTCTGCTTCATCTACTGCCGTGGGAAGGGCTGCTCCATATTTAGCAATATGCAATCAAAAGCATCAGAACAGCCCTCCCTGCGTGTCTCCAGTGTACACATTCCCTCTCTTAGGCTGGCAAGATACATGTCAAGAAACAGGCAAGTCTTGAATTTTCTCACCATGGCAGCACAGATGGCCCCCGGAGAAACGGCCCATTGCAACAAAGGGCGCAATGAGCCCACAACGTGTGAGGCTGAGACGAGCAAGAACTGCCATCCACATCACGTGTCAGGGACTCACTGGAACAGGCCGGGAAGGGAGAAAAGCACGCTAGCACATAACCGAAATCTCTAACTGCTTTTCTTTTAGAGGTTGTCATCTCCCCGCCACACCCCACTCCACCTGTCACCAGTGTGATTTTCTCATACGATAATATGTTATAGTCAAAAATGTCCCTTTTTTCTCTTTGTTCTCTGGCTTCTTGATGATGGAGTAATTTTGCAGGGAGCGCCCAAGGGAGGGGGCTACGCGGCCACATCGCTGCTCCCTTGGTGACAGCTTTGCCTGTGACATGCTTGCTGTTCCTTCCTTCTCTGCTCATTTCCATAAGGACCTGGCATCTCAGAACTACAGGCTGCCTACAGACAAATACTTTCCGGGGGCAAGGAGCCTAGGAGGAAAAGGAGGCAAGAAATTGGCCCCCCATTGGATGGAGCCTAGGAAATGGAGCCTGTGGTTGGGCCTTGCTGCCAGGGCGGTGTCACAGGCAGATGGAAGATGCAGCTGTATCCTCTCCCCACCCCCTTCTGGGCCTTCCATATCGTTTTTGCCTGATATGAAAACCCCTCGGGGCCCACAAGTGTAGACCTGGGGCATGAAAAAATCCTCAAAGGTCACATCCCTGAGCCTCATGGGAACTCTGTTGCTTGCTGTTCAGTGACAGATGCAAACTGATTTGGTCACACCATGACCCCCAGTCTAGACTGTAAGAGAAATTTGGAGAGACAGGCAGAACATGGATCACAGTGACCCTTTGGAGGACACATTATTTTGGTGCTTATTTTAGGGATAAGGACATGGAGAAACGTCCAGAAGTGTCAGAGGAGCATCTGGGACCCCAGCCCTGGAGGCCCAACACAAGGTTCTGGGCAGGCACTGTGAGAATGAAGCAGTGGACAACAGATCTGGCTCTCCCATTCTGGCACTCTGCCTTTCAAATAAATAAGCTAACACATTTCTTTTTAAAAGTTCACAGAGGGATGACTAATGTTGTGGTACAGCTGTTAAGCCACCGCTTGCAGTCCTACTGTCAATCTAGCTTCCTGCTAATATGCCTAGGAAGCAGCAAAAGGCCCTTGCCTCCCAATGGGAAGCCCGAATGGAGTTCCAGCTTCCTGGCATCTGACTGGCCCAGCCCTGCTGGGTGTTACAACCATCTGGTGGGAGGAGGAGGGGGAAAGGTGAACTCCCCTCTCTAATTCTGCCTATAATAAATAAATAAATCCAAATATTTTAAAAAATTATAAAAAATGTGATATATAGAACCTTATTTTGTTGTAAAAAATGATATTCATGCATGGCTTTCTGCTTACACACATTTTTCATAAACTTTTGAAGAACCCCTCACATTTGAATTTTCTTCCCAGCAAAACAAACTGATGTTTCAATTCCATTTTCCATGCATTTTCTGCAGCCCCTTCCTTATGCATACAAGAGTACAGATGAGCATACAGCTCAATGACTTCCCCCCAACCAAGCACATGCATGTAACCAGCACCCCCAGACTCCTTACCTGGGCTCCCTCCCTACCACCTGCCCCAAGTGTGACTAGCAGCCTAGGACCAGTTCAATGCCATGGATGACTTTTGTCTGTTCTTACATATCTTCAAGTCAATTCCTACAGTGTAATCAACCTTAACAACTGACCTTGTACCCAACATCATGACATGCATCGTTCCCATTTAGTCATGTCTCTTTGCAGTTGCAGAATATTCCATTGTGTGAATGTCCCACAGAGTCTTCACTCTACTCTCTTTTCTTCCTTCCCTTCACTTTACTCTTGATGAACACATGAGTGTTTCCACTTTGGGGGGGGGGAAGTATTTCAAATGCTTTGGCTATGAATAATCTAATACATGTTACTGGGGTTTTTTTGTTGTTGTTGTTGTTGTTGTTGTTTTTGAGAATATCTGTATTTCTGGTAGGTAACAACCTAGGGGTGTAATTGCTGGGTCCAAGCAGAGCCAAGTACATGTTCAGCCTCAGTGTAAATTGTCAAACTATTTCCTCAAGACATTAGAGCATCTTCTACCCTCATCAGTGCCATTGAGGTCAAGGCTCCGTGGCCTTGCAAATACTTGGCTTGTCCAGCTTTAGACAGCAAGCGACATCTGCCAGAAGACACCCAGTACGCCACTCCACACTGAGCCTCAGCTCTGGCAACCTTTACGAGCAGGCTGAGGAAGCCGAGCTCTCAAAGGAGACAAAGGTTTATCCAGACTGGTGGGAGCTCAGGGGAGCTGCGAGGCACTGACAGATCTGACGCTGTCATGTAAGGACACAAGACTGGGGTTGGGAAGAGTCCACTGGATCTGAAAAGAATGACTTCCTTTGTCAGCACAGGGCATGGCACTAGAGATGCCTAGTCTGTTTGGTGGACTGCTAGCACAAAATACCATAAACTGGGTAGGTTAGAATGACAGAAAACCATTTCTCCTGGCTCTAGAGGCCGGGAAATCCTTGATGGGGGTGCCAGATATACAATAACATATACCAGATTCTGTGTGGGGTAAAGGTCCAGCTTTCTGACTCACAGATGGCACCCCCTCGCTGTGTCTTCACTTGGTGTAAATGGAAAGCCAGCTGGCACAATGGGGAGGAGGGCTCTTTTAAGGACAGTAATCCCACGTGCCAACACAGAGCCTTATCACCTCTGAAAAGCTCCACTTTACAGTACTGCCAACCTGGGTGATTAGGTTTCAACCTTTCTATTTGGGAAGGATCCACACATCCAAACCATGGCAAGTACTGTGGTGGCCTCTTATAAAGATGATGCTCCTTAACTTTCACTGACACCTCTGAGGGTCTATCCACAGCAGATTACTGTCCGATGGGATCGGAGCCCAGGAGAGACAGCAGTGCGCCAGCTACGGAGGAGGGGTGGCCACAAGTCCTCTCAAACCAAGGCCTGTGTCCCATCATACCCAGTGCAGCCTCTGCATAACCCATCAAAGCACTCCCCAGGGCTGTGCTCCAGTGGTCCATCTTCTGTGGCTGCAAGCACACCTGCCAGGCAGTGAGGCTCCCATTTCAGAAAGCTCAGGCCTAGGACAGTGCCAGGCTTACAATGTTCATGAACAAGTGCCCACAGGAAGGGGCAATATATCTTCTTCAAATGATAGCTTTTATCATCATAGGGCAAAAAGATGAGACCATCTCTCACCTCTGATAAAATCTCAAAGCCATTTGTAGGCATTAGATGTACTTTTTAAAATAGCAAAATGCCCTCAAGAAGGGACTTTTACATCCCACTTTTTAAAGATTTATTTATTTTTATTGGAAAGTCAGATTTACAGGGGAGGAGAGACAGAAAGATCTTCTATCCATTGGTTCACTCACCAAGTGACCACAAGGGCCGGAGCAGAGCTGATCAGAAGCCAGGAGCTGGGGCGGGGGCGGGGGTTCTTCCAGGTCTCTCACACGGGTGCAGGGCCGTCCTCGACTGCTTTCCCAGGCTACAAGCAGGAAGCTGGATGGGAAGTGGAGCAGGTGGAACATGAACCAGCGCTCATTTGGGATCCCAGCACATGCAAGGTGAGGACTTCAGCCACTAGGCTACCGTGCTGGGCCCTACATTTCATTTTCTGCACTTAACATCTTTTCTGAAACTTTCAGAAAAGGAAAAGTGCTTTGTTGAAAAAAAGTGTGAACTGGAGCTTTAGTACTGTATAGGAGAAAAAGCATCTCAAGGTTCATGGCTGAGCCTTCTAGGACAAAAGACAGATTAACAAAAGCATGCAAATCTGCTTCCCACATTTTCTGCACCCCAATGGCACTTGCTGCACTGAGCAAGACGCTGGGCACCCGTGTGGGGGCCGCTAACTCACGTGGCTAGGAAGCATTTGAAATGTGGCCAGTTGGGCTGACACTGAACTCATTTATTTTAATTCAGTTAAATTCTTTTTTTAAGATTTACTTATTTTTACTGCAAAGTCAGAGATACAGAGAGGAGGAGAGACAGAGAGGAAGATCTTCTGTCCGATGATTCACTCCCCAAGTGAGCGCAACGGCCGGTGCTGAGCCAATCTGAAGCCAGGAGCCAGGAGCTTCCTCTGGGTCTCCCACACGGGGGCAGGGTCCCAAGACTTTGGGCCGTCCTCGACTGCTTTCCCAGGCCACAAGCAGGGAGCTAGATGGGAAGCAGGGCCACCAGGATTAGAACCGGTGCCCATATAGGGTCCCCGTGCATTTAAGGTGATAACTTTAGCTGCTATGCTATAGCGCTGGGCCCAATTCATTGCACTAGCAGCTACTGCATTGGATAATGCCGCTTTAACCAATCTATTTATGTTAATATGTATACATTCCATTTTCCCACATTTTTTTATGTGAGATTTATTTATACTTTAATTGTGACTTGGTATATCTTGTGCATTACAAAGACATCTAAAAGAGAATTTCTAACCAATGCCCTGGCCCTAGATAATGGAAATGTGGCACAATGTGGTAACTGGGAGTCAACTCCTACACACCACGTCAGGCCAACATCAAGGGTGACCATGACGATGACCATGACGACGACGATGATAAGAAAAAAGGCCACAATGTTAAGTGGAAAAGCAAAGAGGATACCATATTGTTTAGGTAGTGGGCTACCAAATATTCTTAAAACGAAAAAAAAAAGGGGGGGCATAGAGAAACAAGATGGCTAGAGATTTGTATCAAAATGTTAAGAGGGTGCTGGTGGGCAATTTGGCTGCTTTTCCCTCCAGCAGCTCCCTGCTTTGCTATGTTCATGGATTTCCAGAATTGTGGAATGAACTAAAACCTTCCTCCTCCATCAGTCCTCTGGCTCCTCAGCACCTGTGGTTATTATTTCTAGCAGATCGTTCCCGAACTTGACTGCTGCCAGAGGGGCTTTTGCTAACTTTCACGTGACTATTTCCATTGACTTATTGTCACTTTGCTGAGTCTCTGCAGGAAGGTGACCGTGGCTCTCTTGTGCTTTTTGTTCAGCCAGCCTGGGATTATCGTCCACTGAGGTAAGGTACAGCGCGAGGCGCAACCTACATGGACACGATCTTGAAGACTCTTCTAGCCCAAAGCAAAGCATAGCACTGTCACTTCGATACACGTGCGTGTGCGTGTATTTAAAGATAATGTTTTTTGGTGGCACTAGCATGTTCAAGCTCTAAGACTGGTGTTTCAGTGAGAGAATGAAGCAAAACAGGTCTTTAATCAGGTGGTGCAGTCTTGAACCCAGCACTGTTTCAAACTAGATTCCCAGATAGGAAACTCCAGGGGACCTGAGGAGTACAGCCTTGGACAGGGTCCCGCATCCCTGCACATTAGGGTGAACAGTATCCACTGCGTGGCTGTGTCTGGGAACTCCTTAGTAAGGGAATGCAATGCTGACCGTGCTGGCGGGGGGAAAGCAGCTGGGCTAAGCTCTAGGAATGGTGTGCTCCTTGAAAACAAGCTGAGCCCAGCTGCCTTCAGCTGTCACTGTTCTAACGTCCAGCCCCTCTGGCTGCGTGCAGGATGAGGGTGAGGACCCTTGGTACCACAAAGCATGCAAGTGTGACTGCCACGGAGGAGCCAATGCCCTGTGGTCTGCAGGTTCCACCTCCTTAGATTGCATACCAGGTGAGTGTCCCCCTCCTTGGGGTGCCCCAACATTGTTGTTCTCTGCCCTCTAACCCCACTTCCCTACCCCTGCCCTCTCCATCCCTTTCCCCAGCTGGCCTCTGAGCTTCTAATCTCCAGCATGCCATCCTGATGGCATTGCTCAGAAACAATATCCTGGTCTCTATATGGCCGAGATGGAAAAGTAGGGCCTCACTTGCCATAGAATTGAAGAGACAACGATGGCCAACCGAGAGGAAATTTGGGTAGTTGTGGGGGGAAACTCAGGTTGGAGAGCTAGAACCGCCCCAGTTGAAATTTGGGCTATGTCACTTCTCCAGGTTGGGGCTGCCACTGAGTTCTTCTTAGGCCCACTGGAGGGGACAGCCCTGTGGATGCTGCCAACCATATGCACCCAACCCCTTGCAGCACCTCCTTCCCAAAGGAGGCCCAGAGGGCTGTACTTTCTGGTTCCTGTGGTGATGCCACCAGTGGGATCCTGTGACAGACCAGTTACCTAGGGGAAAACAGATCTGTGCCCCAGTGAGCCGCTGGGACTTTCAGGACTCCAACTAAGGCAGCTTACCCTGACTCAAAAGGACGCCTTCCTCTAAGACAGGGGCCAGCAATGTTTGCAAAACGGCCAACTGCAGCGCTGTGTGCTCAGTTCTGCTGTGGCAGCTGGGAAGCCGCAGTGCAGTAGGTGTCAGTGCACACAGGCACACGGGGTGCACATAGTCAGTTTTGCTGCACACCTCTCCTAGCCGCCCAGGCAGGAGCCTAACACTGCCTAAAACAGCTCCGGGGGTGGGGGCCTGAGCCTCTATTTGCATGAAAATAGAAAATCTGCTGCCTGTGCAAGCCCCAGTGGTGCACTGGGGTCTACGTTTGCTCCCCAGGGACCGGCAGGCGCCTGTGTTAGAAAGGCAGTTCAGGGGGTTCCCTGCGGGAGTTGGGGGGTGAGGGGACTCTTCATTAGGACCGGTGGGATCGCCCGAGGCAGCCTTGAAGGCCTCGTCTGGCCTCGGAGAACCTGAGCACGGAGTGGAATGAAATTGTTCTTTTCCCTCTGCGCTGATGCCATCAACTGTGAAGCAGACACAGGCGGGAGGGTTTGAGGGGCAGGAAAATGAACCTGGACCTGCCTCTGTGCCCACTCCCCACCAAGCTGTCTCCCATGTTGCCATGAACTTAAAGTTCTAAAATTAGAAATTCCTTTATCTGAAGCGTTCTCCTCTCTCTGCTGCCTTTTTTTTTCTTTCTTTCTAACAACACAAATATTTTCAGAAAAGGATAAAAAAAACACGACCTCAGTGTTAAATGGTTTACTTAGTGGTGTTAATTGGTTCTTCCATGAAAGAAGTGATTCAAGGCAACAGCACTGGGCCAGGTCCCAGAAGTCTCTTGCCCGGCAGGATGTCAGAACTGTATTTCAGTGTCAACACTGCAGGATGGCTCTGCATCATCGGATTCAGTACCTCCACCTGGGCCTGTCACAGTGGACAAATTCCTAAAAAGCACAGAGGGACAGGGGGTGGGGTGAGGGGGTCGTTCAGAGCAGGGGGGGAGCTGCCCCCATCCACCTCTCCCCACCCCAAGGCAGAGGGCTCGAGCAATGTGGCTTCAGCAGAGCAGGAACAGGGACACCAAAAGTCCTCTTTTCCACGATTGGGCCAGCACATCACAGCACCGAGAGCGGGGATTAGGGGAGAAGGGGCTAAAGTCTTCAGAAACTTCATGAAAAATGCCTATTATGAAAAAAATTGTTTTCCAAAACTTTTCCGTACCAAAATAAATATATCTTTTAGTTGTATTTCCCACACTTTTTGAAGTCCCCTCATATAACAAATTCAGTAATGTTTTACTTTATTCCAAACTTTATGTTCAAGTTTATAATTTATTCTGCTATAAATAGCATTCTATATTCTTACTCCATATTCTACTGTGTTGACATACATTTATTTCCAAGTCTAACACGCACGCATAATAATATTCACATACCTCTAGAATCTCTTACTAAGAATGTCCCTGAATTCTGTTTTTTTTTTTTTTTTTTTTGGTGAGGGGAGTGGGGGATTAGCATTCCTTATAATTCTATCTGACCTTTATGCCTGGCAATGCAGAAAGTATTGTTGAATAAAATAGGGATGGTATGAAGGCACTTCAGACAGCTTGTGGATTAGGTGGGTGGGTGTTTGACCTAGCAGTTAAGCTATGGGTTAGGATGGCCACAGGGCATGTTAGGGTGCCAGGTTCAACAACAGCTCCAGCTCTTGCTAACGGAAAGGCAGCAGTGACGGCTCCCTTCCGTGGCGCTCTGGACTCAGTTTGCAGCTCCTGGTTTCAGGGTTTCAGCACTGGCTGTTGTAGGTGAGCAACTCAGTGGATGGGAGTTCTGTCTCTTGAATAAATACATTTTAAAAATTTATCCAAAATAAAGTTTGTGGAAAAGTAGAATGAAGAGTTTATTCTGGTGTAAAATCAGTTTTTAAATCATCAATAGTAAGGTTCTTCTGAAAGTTCATGGAAAATATTTCTACACCAAATTAAACTGATCCTTTAATTCTACTTTTTAAAACAGATTTGTTTTTGCTTTTATTGCAAAGTCAGAGATACAGAGAGGAGGAGAGACAGAGAGGAAGATCTTCCATCTGATGATTCACTCCCAAACTGACCACAACAGCTGGAGCTGAGCTCATCCAAAACCAGAAGCCTGGAGCCTCTTCTGGGTCTCCCATGCGGGTGCAGGGTCCCAAGGCTTTGGGCTGTCTTCGACTACTTTCCCAGGCCACAAGCAGGGAGCTGGATGGGAAGTGGAGCTGCTGGTATCAGAACTGGTACCCATTTGGGATCCTGGCGCGTTCAAGGTGAGGACTTTAGCCACTAGGCTATCACGCTGGGCCCTTAATTCCACTTCTCACAGACTTTTAAGTACCCTCATATGCAAAGTACAAATGACCTGGATTAGTAGTACAATACATCTTATGTAAAAAGATAATATATCTTTTTATAATTATCAAATTTTGGCTCGGTACAGAGTCATCTGACATAGGTTTTTCCTTCAAAGTGAGATGAGTCTGGCAATAAGTTAACAATTGCAACAAAGTTGCACTGGGCAGAAAACGTGGGAAGCGCTTGCTGCCTGTTCATGGGATCTGCCAACAGCAGTAATTAGAAGCTTGTGAGTCCAAGGGTGCTCAGCTCTCTGAATCTGCCAGCAAGTAGAATGCCTTCGTGGGCAGCCACACTGCAAAGAGCACTCCCAAAGTGTGCCTGTAAGAGATGCCAGTGCTTACGGGCAGTGCAGCCCTGGAGTCCGCCTTCTCCACAAGCTCCCGTGACGGTTTGGCCACACAGGCCTAGCTGAGTGGTCCACAGAGCACTCCTCTTCTGTCTCCCAGGAATTAGCATATTTTGAAAAACTCCCCAAGCCTCTAAACAATGTGTTATTCATTTGCTGCCAGCCTTCTCAACTACTCATGGAGTTGGGCCTGTTCCTTTGCTGAAAGAGGGCAAAGAGAGGGGTAAACACTTGTGACCAAGGCCAGAAGCTTTCCTCCTGGTGCCGGGCCATGGCTATCTCTGAAAGCATTCTGGGGCCCCGGGGTGGGGCTTTTGAAAAGGCATTTTCCAGAAAAGACTTTAGCATTCCATTATGTGGTTATAGCTGATGACATGGCTATGTTCAACTCTTCAACCCGAACTTTCTATGTGAACAAAATACTTTTTTAAATTTTGAAATTATAGGTGGCCTAGCAGCTAAAGTCCTCACCTTGAACGTGCCAGGATCCCGTATTGGCACTGGTTTTAATCCCGGCTGCTCCACTTCCCATCCAGCTCCCTGCCTGTGGCCTGGGAAAGCAGTCAAGAACGGCCCAAAGCCTTGGGACCCTGCACTCACGGGAGAGACCTGGAAGAGGCTCCTGGCTCTGGATTGGCTCAGTTCCAGCCATTGTGGACCACTTGGGGAGTGAACCAGCAGATGGGAGATCTTTCTCTCCGTTTCTCCTTCTCTCCGTAAATCTGCCTTTCCAATGAAAACAAATAAATCTTTAAAAAATTTAATTGAAAGGCAGAAAGAGATGTTGGTTCATTCTCAAGTGCTTACCAACGGCCATGGCCAGGCCAAAACCAGGAGTGTTAACTCCATCGGGGCCACCTACGTGGCTAGCAGAAACTCAAGTAGCTGAGCCATCATCTGCTGCTTCCCAGGAACATCAGCAGGAAGCTGAAGCAGAAAGAGAGTAGTTAGGCAGGACTTGAACGAGGCACTCTGACATGTGAGCATCCAAGCAGCAGCTTAACCCGCTGCGCCAAAACAGCCAGCCTAGAGAAAGTCATTTGATTTACATTATTTGGAGTTCATGGTTCACAGCCAGAAAGCTAGAAGCACATATTCACATAAGGTTGTATTTTGCTTTCTACAGACATTCAGTTAGAAACTTCGTTTGATTATATGTAAGCGATGTCCTAAATCACTAGTTGTTGGATTAGGAGTTGCGTATTGACAACCATGGTACAAAAATGAAGGACTGCTTAAAGACATCCAAACTGACATTTTTGTAGTTTTCTTGGCCTTATCCTCAGGGTACAATATGGATATTATTGCACCAGCCATCAGATCTTCCTTTAGTCTAGGTAACAAGAGGGAAGAAAAAGTAAGCAAAACCTGACCAGGTATTCTCTTACTGGTCTGAAATGGAGTTACATGGTTCCTTTAAGCTGCAAGGGAAGCTAGGAAAGATATTTTTTTTTAAAGCTGGTCACATTGTGGTCCCCAATAAAATTAGTGTCCTTAGTGTCCTTTACTGAGAAAGTAGGGGAAGGGAGGAGTAGGTGGCCTAGCAGCTAAAAATACCAGTTACGATGTCAGCATCCCATGTCAAATGCCTGGGTTTCAATCCTGATTTGCTCCTGAATCCAATTTCCTGCTAAGTAAGGCACACCCAGGGCGGCAGCAGGTGAAGGCTCAAGAACTTGGGCCCTGCCCCCCATCTGTAGGAGACCTGGAGTGAACCACTTGCTCCTGCCTTCGGTCTGGCCCAGTCCTGGTTGTAACGGGTATTTGGGGAGTGAACCAGCAGAGTGTGGTTCTGATCGTTCTCTCCCTGTCCATAACAAGTAATTTAAGGAAAAAAAAAAAAAAAACCAGGAGGGGATCATAGATCCTGGGTTGGCAGTTGGCAGTTTTGTGCCAGATCACTCAACCCTGATTTTACTATGAGAGACCATAGGGAGAAGAGCAGCAGGAAATGCCGAACCAGCGTGGGCCACGTTATGGGGAAAGCCAGCTCCTTCCCACTGTTCCTTATTTAGTTGCACTGAGCACATCTCTCCCATTTTTTATTGTCGCTCTCATTTTCTACCTCCTATAAATTGCCTTTGCCTGCTGCACTAGAGCGATCAGGGACTCTGATGTTGCTACACATGTTGGCTAACCCCAATTTGACGAGAGAAGGAAAGGCACTAGGCATTGAAGTACCACGTTGCGCAGCATGCTGGGGACAGGGGATGTGTGGTCTTCAGGTCTCAATGGTTGGCAGTGGTGAAGCATCTCTCCAAGTGCCCCTGCATGAAGTGACCACCGAGCCATCTCACTCCACTTTTATGGATGTTGTGATTCTCTGCGGAGATCCCACCATGGCAAACTCTGCTGTCTGCTCCGCGTGAGGAAGGAACAGACACTTGGCCCAAGGAAGACAGTGCGTTCTTATAGATGCAAAGTGCACGGGCTGCTTTTGCTGTTTCCACAGCTCGTGTTCATGGTGCATTGACACAGGGTTGTTGGGACGTGTATTGTTCTTTTTTTCTTAGAATGCCCCTATCACAAGCCCCTCGGTTTCGAGTCAGGAGAGGTTACAGCAGATCAGATCACTTGCTCCAACCCGGAGCAGTATGTGGGCTGGTATTCGTCATGGACTTCCAGCAAGGCCCGGCTCAACAGCCAAGGCTTTGGGTAAGTAGGCCAGGCGGCCCAGGTGGAATTTATCCTGTGTGTGCTTTGAACACTAGCTCTTGAATATATGTGTGAGACAGAGCACACCTACATGTTTGGCCAGTGCAGCAGCACCTTAAAAGGTTTGGGAAAAATTATAATTAGAGGTTATTTTTGGTGTCAAAAATTGGGAAATGCATGCATGTGCCTTGCATGATGCAGCTTTTGAAGATCCCCAATATGCTTGGCTTTTCAACATTTCTTGTACCAAAATAAATGGATCTTTTGATGCCTTTATTCCATGACCTTCCTGAAGTGCTGGCTAATTGTTTACATGTCCAGGACTATGGACACACGGCAGCTAAGGTCCCTGGCTCCAGGACACACATAGCCAGTGGCCTATAAGCACATGGTCATAACTGTGTGATACACACAGTCAGATCTCCCACTGGACGCATCAGGAAACATATTCCAAGGAAAAGCTATTGAGTGTGAGACTTGACATTGACAGGTGAGGGAAGGGAAGAGGGAGGGGGCTGGCACATACAAAGGCCCTGGATGGGACTGTATCTCCATGGCAGTTAGGGAACATATAGCCAACAAGGCTAGGGCATAGCAGGGCCAGCTGGAGAGGTAAGCAGATTTCAGGTAGTGCAGGACCTTCCTTATCTGCCATGCCAATCTACTGTTCTCCTTAGTTTGGGGAAAATGGAAGGCCCTCAGTGTGTCCTAGTCAGCATGTGGGCTCATGCTGCTCTAACAAGAGAGCCCCCAAAGCACAAGGACTTAAGCAATTGCAGGTGGATCTGCTTGCTCACCTAAAAGTTTCATGAGGTGATCTATAGTTGTCGGGATAGTTTGATGGAATCAGGAGCCCAGACTATCTTTTAAAAAGATTGATTTGGGGCTAGCACTGTGGTACATAAACTTAACATGCCACCTGCAAAGCCAGCATCCCATGTGCATGCCTGTTTTGAGTCCCAGCTACTCCACTTCCAATCCAGCTCCCTGTATGTATTTGGGAAAGCAATGGAGGATGGCCCAAGTACTTGGGCCTATGCTACCTGCATGGGAGACCCAGATGGAATTCCAGGCACCTGGCTTCAGACTGGCCCATCTCTGGCCATCGCAGCCACTTGGGAAGTGAACTAGTAGATGGGAAGACTTCTGTCTCTTCCTCTAATTCTGCTTTCCAAATATTTATTTTACTTTTATTTATGGGATACCAGCACTACAAGCAAAGGCTGGCACCATTCCACATTCCTTTCAAATAAGTTATCTTCTTTTAAATGGGTTTATCTACTTGCTAGGCAGAGAGATTATGAGTTTTTCCATCTGCTGGTTGACTGAATGACTATGTCTGGGCTGGGCCAGGCCAAAGCCAGGAGCCAGGAACTCCATCCCGGTCTGCCACATAGGCAACAGGGGCCCAAGTACTTGGGTCATCACGGTTGTCTTCCCAGGCACATTAGAAGAGAGCTAGATTAATAGCAGAACAGCTAGGCTTTGAACTGGCACCCTGATATCAGATGCCAGTGTTGCCAGCAGTGGCTTAACCCACTGTGCCACAATGCCTGCCCCAGCCTACACTCATAAAACCTCACTGTCCTGTCATTCTTAACAGGATGCTTCCATCTTGGGGCCCATGATGGTTGGTTGCTCTAGTTCCTGTGGTGATATCCCCATTATAGTTAGCAAGGAGGGGAAAAAAAGTAGAGTATGTATGCTTTTAATGATACAAATATATTCTATTGGTCACTTAATTCCACACTGCATAGGTCAGAATTTGGCCGGATGGCCCCACCCAGCTGCAAGAGACACTGGGAAATGCAATCTGGGTGGCCCATTGGCCCAAGTGGAACTTAGGGGCTTTATCACTAAGGAGGGGATGAGGCTGCCAGATAAAACGTGAAGTTGGGGAGCATCAAAGGCAGACATGTGTGTGGCAGAGCTGTCTGGTTTCTGTGGGGACAGTCCATGAGTGGAGAACAAGAGGAAGACAAGGAGATTGGTGAAGTGAGGGAGGGCACAAACTGAGGGTCATGTGCACTAAATGATGGTCTGATGAGGGAAAGAGATGAATTGAAGGAACTGTGGGGAGGGGGCCAATTCATGGAGTTGATACTTGAGAATGGAGGGTAGGAAGGGAGGAGAGGAAGAGGTCCAGGGTGGCTCTCAGATGGCTAGCATGGATGACAGAATCCTCATGCTAATTGAGGGAGGGTGGCAAGATTGAACCTGACCTTGGTCTTCTAGGGACAAGTTCTGGGCGCTAAGACTGTGGCTTAGGTTGTGTAAATGTCACATGGAGGGGGCTTTCCCGGGGGACATCTCTCGGGGACTTGCTGTTTCCTACAGGTGTGCCTGGCTCTCCAAGTTCCAGGACAGCAGCCAGTGGCTACAGATAGATCTGAAGGAGATCAAGGTGATTTCAGGGATCCTCACCCAGGGACGCTGTGACATCGACGAGTGGATGACCAAGTACAGTGTGCAGTATAGAACTGATGAGAGCCTGAACTGGATTTACTATAAGGATCAAACTGGAAACAACAGGGTAAGTGGGGCTATTCCCATGCACATGCAGCACATGCCCTGTGGGACTCCCTTCCTATCTCTATGCTCTTTGTCATCACTAGAGCTCTCCTGAGCCTATGCCCTGGGGCCAAACAGGCTTCTTTGCCATGACCTGGCTTTGTTCTATCTTTTGTGCTCAGTACAGTTTGAGAATGAGTGCCATTCTTAAGTGCTCAAGAATGATTTGACTGAGTTCTCACCTAACTATCCAAATGGCCCTGGACAAGCACTTCACCAGTGTAGACAGAGGCAGCCAAATCCCTGAGTAACTCTGGGCTACATCTCTTCCCCAACCACAACGGACATCTTCCTCATCATCAACTAAGCCAGGATGCCCGGTGTTACTGGCAAAGAATAAATTGAATGGAAAACTCACAGCCACTTGGAAATGCTAATTCTAGTGAATTCTCGTATGTCATCAGCATGAGTCACGTGCAGCAGAGAACCAGAAGTAGTCTCAGGTGACAGTCTATCTAGCAAGACATTTCTGGGCTGAGGTCTCAGGAAGTCCAAACACAACAGGAAAAGAACTTGGACTCCTAAGTTCATTTCTGTTCCTAGTAGTTGGCCTCTGGAAGATATGCTGGGATTCTTTCTCATGCCATGCACCTCACGAGGCTGGGCTGGGCTGTCTGCAGAGAGGCACTCCACTCCGGCAGTCATGCAACCTGGCTGAGCCCTGGCCATCGCCCCTCTTCATCTGGCTGGCTCTTGACATAAATGGGCTCAAGAATAAGCAGCTTAGCAAGAACAGGACTGGATGTTTCTTCTGGGGAAAATGGTAAGATAATGGCAGACAAGGCCCTTCCTGTTTCATAGAGAGAGGAAGCCAAATGATAATAAAGTTCCCCCTACCTCCCCGGAAATACAGTTCCTGTCGTTGGGACTCTAGAATGCGGACAAAGAACAACTTATTTAGAAATAGAGCCAAAAACCTCTATTGCAGTTTCTTATGTCACATCCCGAGAAACACAAAGAAATGCTTTCCAGAATCTTCCTTTTTGTTTTTCATGCTTTCTAGAAAAAAATTTTTTTCAAGTCAGTCTAAAAAGTATTTGTCATCTGTATCAAACAGGGACACCTATTTAGCTCCAGCTCACAACTTCAGCCCAAGTTTATACCTTGGCATCATGGGAATGCCCCTCTCATGAATGCAACTGTAGCCTCGTCAGAATTTCTGCTCAAAATGTACAGAATAAACACAAAATTAGCACTAAGAGGGAAGAGGTATTTTCTTATTTGCTTAGCTATTTGGAAGAATGTGAGAGAGAAGACATAGAAGTCTTCCATTCACTAGCTTACTCTGCAAGACTGGACCAGGCCAAAGCCAGGAGCCTGGAACTTCATCTGGGTCTGCTTGTAGATAACAAGGGCCCAAGTACTTGGGCCATGTTCTGCTGCCTCCCAAGCGTTAGCAGCAAGAACAGCAGCTGTGACTCATACTTGCACTGATAGGGGATGCATACCCCGAGCAGCAGGCTACCCTTCAATGCTGCAGTATCCATTCCTGCAGCTTTTTATCAGTGCCATGCCAGGGAATTCTTTATTACGCTGGAAATGTCCATTCCTGTGATGTCCAGCATAGTGGTCACTGTGTGCCTAATGTGACTGAGAAATTGAATTGTTACCTAATTTTAGTTCATTTAAATTGAGATAGATTCATGTGGCAACTGACTCAGATCTGAGAACACCTGTGAATTGCCTGTGCCTTAACTGCTTCCTAAGCATGGGCCAGCCATAGCCAGGCTGTGCTTTTCCCTTCTCTCCCTGATGCTGTGGTGACAGGATCTCCTCCCTCATTAGGTCTTCTATGGAAACTCGGACCGGAGCTCCACAGTCCAGAACCTGCTGCGGCCCCCGATCATTTCCCGCTTCATCCGACTCATCCCGCTGGGCTGGCATGTCCGCATTGCCATCCGCATGGAGCTGCTAGAGTGCGTCAGCAAGTGTGCCTGAGGCCTCAAGCTGGCACCTGCCAGAGGGTAGATTACACACCATCGGGCTGAACAGGGACATCTTATAGAAATACTTTCAAGCGCAGAGCTGGTTAGGAAGTATCTCCTTCTCAAAAACATAACATGTTTTGATTTCAACAATAAATAAATAAATAAATAATCTATTCCCCGCTCAGGGTCAAAGAAGATAAGAACAAAGAAAATGTCCTTAAAAATGATTTTCTCAGAAAAGCCTAAGTGGCAGGAGTAACTTACTGTCTTCATTTTTTTTTTTTTTTTTTTTTTGGCCAGTCTTCTCTATGACACCATGAAAGGTGCAGCCCCAGAGGGACACAAAGCAGCCCTGAAAATCTGAAAACTCTTTTGCTTTACCCCATTCAAAAACTGGGACATGGGAATTATATAAAGAGGCCTCACTGTGAATGTAGCGGGGAGTGTGCTCCTATTTCCCCTGGTTTTCATTCAGCCATGGCTAGAGAAGTCTCAGAGCACCTTTAAGGCAGCTAAAGGTTTCAGGGTTGACTACTGAGCAAGAGCCTGTGACCTGTCACACAAAAGACCTGCTCTCCTGAGAACCTGTACATGACAAACGACCAAAGGTCCAAAGGCAAAGATCCTCCTCTGCTGAGCTTGCAGTGTCAGGAACACAAGGACTGGCAAGCTTTCACTTTGCCTACAGTTCCATTCTGCAGTCCATTCAGGCCAACGGGCCAGACCGACCGCCTAAAGCAGGAATTTCCCTCCATCCAGGGTGACCATTGAAAACAGGCTTGACATTTTTTGACAGCGACTGATCTGGGAGCCTGTCACCAGCTGCTCCCTCTGCAATCTCTACCTTGTAACACACAAACACCTTGGCTCCTGAAGTTGCACACCTCGTTGACATGTCAGCAGGCGATAGCGATCCTTCCCTGCCAGCAGGCAGATGGGCAGGGAGGTGCATGGCAGTCAGAGCTGATGGTGAGGGGAGCACAAGATGCAGATGCTCTGGACAGACTGAGGAATCCCAACAGTAGCAGGCCTTGGATGCAGTGCAGCCACTGCAAGCAGCTCACTTCTCGGAGGACTTTGCAAATGCCAATGCAAATGAACAGTCAGTCACTAATAAGATCCTGGGTGTCACATCCACCTTCTCTGGGAGCAGATACCTTCCCAAAGGCCCTGTTATCCTAGCACATACAACAGCTACGTAGTGGCTGCAGCATCTTGCTATTCTCCACGATGTGTACTCTAAACTGGAGAAACAGTTTCTCCTGCCCAGATCTGCCCCCAAATATAAACACTACCATTTCAGGACTGGAGGGCTGCACCACCCATCCTTGGCTTTAGAGACATATGGACAAATCCATTTGGGGCAAACTGCCTGAAGTGAGACACTTAGGTGGAAAATCAAATTAACTTTCATCTCGATGCAAATTATCAGAGAATAGCAGCAGCCTCAGAGTTAGGGACCGTCCCACAACTGGCATATTAAATACAAACGCAATTAAGTTTGAAAAAAGTCATAAAAGAGTATGAGGCAAGGGTGAAGGTTCTCCAAATAATTGTTGGAAAGTTTGTAACAGTTTTACTGAGATAAAGGTCACATAACCATATAATTTTCACTCAATTTAAAGTATACAATTCACCAAAATTTAGTATAGTCAGTTATGCAACCATTATCACAATCAACTGTAGAATATTTTCATCACTCCTAAAAGAAAGCCCACATCCAAAAGCCATCACCCACTAACCCATCTGCCCACCCCAGCTCTAGGCAATCACTAATCCATTGCCTGTTGCTATAGACACTTGCTTATTCTGGATGTTTCATATAAATGGAAATCATACAACATGATTATTTCAGGATTAGCTTCTTTTACTTACAATGGTTTCCACTCCTGTGCTTGTTTGAGAAGCAGACACAGATGGACATCCCATCCACAAGTTGGCTGCCCAGATGCGCAGACCCAGCCATTTAATCCACATCTCTCACATGTGTGCAGGGGCCCAATGACCTGAGCCTGCTGCTTCCCAGAGTGTGCACGGTATGAAGGTGGGAACTAGGAGACAGGGTCAAGAACTGAATCCAAGCAGTCCCTTAACTGCTAGGCCAAACACCCACCCCCAGCAGAGTTCTTTAAGTTCAACACTCTCATATGTCCTAGTACTTCACCCCTTTTCATTGCTGATTCTCATTCCAGTGTGTAATTAGGCCACCTTATTTATCCTTTCATCTACTGATGGACATTTCAGTTGTTGCCACTTTTTGGCTAATGTCAACAATGCTGTTATGAAAACTGGTGTATACAGTTTTTGTATGGACATTTTGATTTATCTTGAGTGTACACCTAGGAGTGCAACTGCTGGCTCACATGGAAACTGCTTAAACTTTTGAGGCACTATTTTTCCAAAAGGCTGTACCATTATACATTCCTACCAGCAATGAATGAGGGTTTTAGCTTCTCAGTTCATCTTTATTATGAGCATCCTCATATGTGTGAAGTGGTATCCATTGTTTTGATTTGTAATTCCATAATACTGATGATGATGAGCACCTTTTCATGTGTATATTGGCTATTTACATCTTTGAAAAAATCTAATCAAATTCATCACACATGTAAAAGTCAGCTTGTAACCTATCGAGTTGTAAGTGTACATTCCAGATATATTTCCCTTGTCCAGTATTTAATATGTCAATAGACTTTCTCCCATTCTGTGGTTGTTTTCCACCTTTTCTTGTTGAAATCCTTTGAAGCATAATTTTTATTTGATGAAGTCAACTTCTTTTTATCTTCAGTTGCTTGTACTTTTGGTATCATTATCTGAGAAACCATTGCAAAACATCAAAGTCACGTATCATTATGCTTGTGTTTTCTTCTAAGAATTCTATAGTTCTACATTTAATACTAGAATATTCGATCCATCTTGTGTCACTTTCACACATGGCATGAGATTGGGGGAAAGGAGTGGTATAACCTCATTCTTTTGCATGTTATCCCAGCACCATTTGTTTTCAGGTTTTTCTTTCCCACTGAATGATCTTGGTACCACTGTCAAAATCAAATGGCCATAAACGTGATGGTTTACTCGTGAACTGACAATTTTATTTCCTTACTGTCTTCATTATTATAGCCTGTAGTGAGGTTTGAAATGAAGACATATGAGTCTTCCAACTTCGTTCTTCAAAATTGTTTTTGGCTATCCTGGTTCCCTTGAATTTCCATATGAATTTTAGGAACAGCTTGTCAATTTCTACAAAGAAGCCAGCTGGGATATCACGTTGGAAATTGCTCAATATCTCAAAATTAAATCAACGAGACACAGAGATACACAAAACATTTATCTGTAAATTTTTGCTTGTGACAACATACTGATTATTTACTTCATTCAATTCATGACAGAATGCATAAAAAGCAAGCCTTTTACTGAGGAAATCTGAAACCTGATGGGAACCTTGCTGTTAAGCGCATATTTAAAAAAAGACCTGTAATGTAGCAAAAACTCACTCTTACCTTATTTTAACATGTTTACGTTTATTTTGAGAAATGCTAGAATGTGGTGTACACTTGAAGTGATTTTTGTTTTTAGTCATGGTAAAACACATACAACATTTTGCAGATTTTAAAATAATGAAATGAAAGGTTATCAACAAAATAGTAGCATTAAGCCAACATTCAGAAAAAAAAAAAAATATCTGAGCTGATTCTGGTACTCACTACGGGAGGAGGTGACCTGGACAAAGCAAAGGTATTTCAAAATAGAGATACTGCTATGAATCCACTCTCAGAGCCTGTAAAATTGCACCCTTAAAACAGCCTTCAAACAGATGGTGACAGAGCCTCTCTTTGTTCACTTGGGTGCTCGCTGAGGCTAGCTGACAAATAGCTTGTAAGGGCTGTTGCTTCCTCTGTGATCTCAAGCATAGCTGGATTCTGACATCAAATAGAAGATAGGCACCTGAACTGCTTAGTGACCACCCATTGAGTTTTCTGTACTTGGACTTTAAGATTCAGTAACACTCCTTCCCAACTTCACTGGGATTGCCAACTGAGTCACAAACAGTAGCAATAAGGTATTATTAGCTACTATTTATTGAAGTTTTATAAAGTGTTTTGCAGGTCATCATCCCATTAAATCTTCACAACAACCCTATGAATCAGGTACTATGACTATCTCCATTGCTTTAAGTCGTACTAGATCCAAGGGGTGCAGCCAGAACACCACTCAGGTGATCTGACTCTAGATTTCATCATTTTACTGCCATTCCTGGACCTCCAGTGACTTATTGCAATGAGATATCCCACTTTCAAATCAATTCAGTGTGACTACTACCACTTCGTGACAGTCAATGAAATGACTTGGAGATGTAGCAACCATGTCACTCAGTAGTGTTTAAAGGGATGACGGGCTTTACCATGTACCTGTTCAGCTTTAAAATCAGCCTTGAACTAAGTGACTTGGGGCAAATTTACATAAAGTAGGTGAGCCTGCCACCTTGTCTGTAAAATGGCGATGATACACAGCATCCACTCCATTGGGTTGTTGTGAAAAAGCAAATGTAATAACAAAAGTACAACAGTTGGCACTGTTCCTGGCCACAGCAAATACTATTAATGTTTTCTACATTAAAAGTAATGTCTTCTACAATAAAAGTAAACCCCAGACACCTTGATTTGGTCATGACCAAAGCGTAGCCAAAATCATAGCTATAAATGACTTTAAGTTGCTGTATCACTTAAGGAGGCACTCGAGTGAGGAACTGGTTGACACAGTGCTTTTAAGAATGCAAAGCACCATGTTTCAGGTTCCAAACATTTTTGTAGAAAGATAAAGAAAACTGGAGAATACTTCACATGTAAGAGTCCATGTAACTTAAATTCCCCCTACTCCCACACTGACCATTTACTTAGTCTTCTCATCAATTTACTTCTCAAATAACAAAAGTAGGGGCCTAAAAGGGTTAGTAAGCCATGCCTGTTCTTGTAAATAAAGTCCTATCTAAGCAAAACCACACTTAAGTCACTCACATATTATCTATATTGCTTTT